CTATTATATGATACTGAAAATTTTAGTATCGTTATTCAATTGCTCGCAAAATAACCACAAGTACAAGATTTTATCAAAAAATAATGATGATTTGCTGCAACGATAGTGAATCTACTGAATCCGCTAAAAAAGTTACGAAAGACGCAAAAATAGATGTTTTGGGGTAGGAATTTAAGGTTATTCAGGAAAACGTAATATTCGATTGCCGATGTGTGAATGTGTGTGTGTGTGTGTGTGTGTGTGTGTGTGTGTAGATGTATACATAAGGGTAGTATGCAGGTAGTATATGAGGTATCACTCAGGTAATTGTACATTTATTAATTGTCCTGTTATACACGAAAGTATATTAATGAAAAAAAAAAAAAAAGTAGCAAGAAGTCTGTACAATTTCATTTTGTGAGGTATAGTTTAAAAGGACCAACTTAAAAAACAAAGGTAATATTCTCGAAAACAAAAATTCAGTAGAAATGGTTCACAGTTCTAGGATGTAGAATCGAGATCAGCTTCAATGGCTAAGTAAACAACAATTTGACTTTAGATACCAGAAATAACGACTTAAAGATTCAGAATCAACGGCCAAAATTCAGATTTCGAAAGGACCGGTTAAAATCTACGAATTTGAGAGGGAAGGGTTAAAAGTATCTAAGCAATACTGTACAGTACAACATGGATTCTCAATGCATAAAATACAAATATTTATAAACTGAAAATACTTTTTCCATGTTAATCCAAAATTTTCCTAAGGAATCTAAACTGCATTCTTACGATAAAAGTAGTCACATTACGATTGACATTACATGTCAAAAATAAGAAAGTAAAGTACACTTAATTACGTTTTGAAAACAGCTTTAGTAGTATAGGAACTGGGCCTGCCACTCCGGAAGTTAACTGGGATATCCTACGCACCGTATGACTAATGGAACTATTTCGTTTTTTGAATTGTGCATCATCATTCCTACCAAACGCTTTTGCAGCTGCTTTCTTTGGCTTCTTGGTTCCACCATTCGAATATTTGTAAATTTGATGAACTGCAGAATTTCTATCATCGATTATGGTATTTATCTGCAAGGATAACCAACGGATAATATCAGAATGATTAGCTTGATTGTTGAGCATGTAATTTCGACCGTTTCCATTGATAATATAGTTGGAGAGATGGATAGCAGTGATTTGCTCTGTTTTTTTTTTTCCTTCATAGAATATGAAGAAACTTTAGTATTTTCTAGAATCAGATTTGACGACATTCCAATCTGTTTAGAGTTGAAAGTAAATAGTTTGCCAAATTACTTAATAACATCAACACTGTATCAGTAAAGGTTCGTATTTGTTATTTATCTACATTATTGATATACTCATCATTTATTACATACGTTTTATCAATCGGATCATACCAAATTCACAATATCGATATATCCTCATCGCATTATTATTTTTCAAAAAGAAGTTGAAATTCAAACCTTCCCTGTAATACTCCAAGCATCATCGACATCTGCTTCCAATTGTAATATTTTCCAGCATGCATTGTTGTACAGCTAAAGTAAAATGATCAAAGATAGATGCTGATAAAATTAATCAACTCGCAGCAAGAATCAAACACGGCATAACATTAAACATACTACAGCATGGATGAACGAACGATAATTATCAGCGAACATCACAAACCTTTTGCCTTAATGGTTCATGATGATCAGTTAATCTGTCTGATTCCAAACTCAATATTGAATCTTGCGTGCTATTAGTTAATTTGCTCGTTTGGGCTATTTTTGACTGATGTTTTATTGTAGGATACGCTAACCAAACAATTCTCACTCCTCGTTTTGCTGCAAATAAGAAGTACAAGTATTCAGGAACGGAACAAAACATTGGATTAAAAGAGAACGGCAATACTGCAAATTTGAAAACAAGAATTATCAGGACTGTTTAGTATGTTGAATCACGATAGTTAAACATATGTTATTAAGCGATAAGACAACCTATACAACTATGTCTTTGAAAAAAAAAAAAACCTATGATACACGTTGTCATATGATCAAACCATTTTGATGGGACGTCAACTAATTAAACTCTTGATTTGTTTAAAAGAAAAAAGGAACGGTTAAAAATTTGGTAACAATTAACCATAAGTACGACTATTATGTAACAAAAAACGCGAAATTACAATTTGAGTGATTTGTGATTTCAACTCCACCGACGTAATCCCACGTTACATATAACGTTTTCAACGAAGAATGCAAAAGTACGGAATTTCGTTCCCTTGTTCGACTCGATTGATTTGGTGTTAATTCAAAACCATCTGTTCGAATAGCTATAACAAAGCAAAAATATTCTATGATGCTAGTTTTTTTTCTTTTTTTATAACATGCTTAAGATTAATTTTGAGAAAGGCGGTAAAACTGTGGTTTAAGAAAGCAAATTTTTCACGGTGAACAAAACAGTCTCATAAAATAAAAAGACGATTTGAATATTCCCTATATAATAATGTTTTGTCAATATTATAAATTGTTAATATTATAAAAAGGAAACATTAATATGACTGTTATAACTCTTACTTAGTAGAGCATTCCATTTGGGTTTGTATCGATGTATCTTTTCTACTGGATAAAACGCAATTGAATTACCCAACAAATCTTTGGCATCGATAGATGACACTGAACTGGTGGTTGTTTTGTAGATCATATCTTGGAAACAAAAATTAATCTCAAGATTAAAACTGAATTTAAATTAGGCCGAATATTTTCAACAACAGATTCAATCCTTCAAAATATTTCTCTCAAATTATCTACTTTAAAAAAAGAATGATAGTTTCATTATTCCACTAGCTATTTATGCGTACTAACCACATATGTTTGGATCTCCATATTTGATTTAAATACAGAAACAGGTAAAATGCTCAACATTAGTCAGTATAGAAATTGGAAAATTAATTAAATTTGAAATATATTGAAATGTACCGGAAAATTGCCGTTGTTCTAGTGATGAACTTATCAAATCGTCATGAATTTTCGGAATTGGACTATGTCCCTGAGCAAATTTTGAACAACATGTTGGAGTAAAATCACCTCGAGAACCTAGTAAATTTGCTTTCTTTTTTTTTTTAAAAAAGAAGCAACAGAAAAGTATATAAAGGAAAACTACATATATGCGTTATTTCCAACGAAATAATACTTAGCTGCACATCAAACGAATAATAAACACTCGAAAAAGATATACTGCAGATAAATCAAACAAAACAAACTGTTTATACGCAACAATAGAAATTCCAGGCAAGCTGTACTGGATATTGGCTTATTGAGGTCTAATGCAACATCAGGTTGTCTCACAGCTTCCAAAACATACTCTCGATCTGAAAAAAGACTGAAATATTTTATGAAACTTTATAAAACATGTCGTATTTCAGCCAATTTTGCAAAACAGAAATTTTGTAAATATTTTGCAAACAAGGTCAGAATTACAATTAAAGTCAAATTACAGAACGTAAATATTAACGCTAAGCAAATGATTGTATTTCATAACGAGTACGAATGAATTAAGATTATTATTAGACAAAAATTAAGTGGAACATCTTACATGCTGGACAATCACTCATGAACTCTTGACCTTCATCATCGATACGTTTCTGGATAGCCTGATCACGAAGCCATCGTAGAGGCACATCAAGTGAGTCCATTGGAAATTCATATTGTTTACCACTTACGGTATACCTAAATTGCATCTACTTCTAAATTAAATTTGAGAAACGCAGTAGCTTCTAGTAGTCATTAGAAAACACAAAACTGACACGATAATATTTTTCATTCCAAAACAATTATTACTCCGTCGTTTCTCCAGAGCAATCGTTGACCAACACGAGCCAAGTTCACTTAGTAAACGATGGCCATCAACTGGAGGTAAGTCTCGATCTACTTCACCATTTTCTTCGGCCATCAACAAATGATATTGTGCAACAGATCTATAAATGAAGGAACACCAATTTCCTAAAAAGGAATTTCGGATTCAGTACCTCTCTCAACCCTAAATTAAGCACAGGTTGAGTCAAAAGTTATTAATTTAGCATTGATTTCTTGAGAAAGATCAAATTCAGGTCAATGAATATATATTTGATATTTTCATTAATTTATGCAACTTACGACATTGCATTGATGGTTTCTCTATCAGCAGTCCCATTCCATCACTATTTGCTGTTAAGGCATAAAACTCTACTGTTTTGGGAATATACATTAAGCATTTAAAAGTAAATCAAATATGGTTTAACTTTTCGGGCTCTATCAATGCTCGTTCAGTAGCAACTAAAACTTCCGTGAGAGATCAGTAAAACAGTATTTGACAAAATTTTAAAAAAAGGCATTCTTTGATGGAATAAATTCATTTAAAATAAAACCCTATGAATCAAAATACATACATATTAATTAATTAAGGCCGGAATGCATACCCAATATCATTCGTCCTTTGACATCGTGCATATTCATAGCAACATAAACCAACGAGATCCGAAATACAAATATCGCATTGAGCATAAATAGTTAACGAAAAACATTTACCACTTTTTGGTTCGGGTTCAACAAAAGGATAAAAAACCAATAGTTTCCGACCATTTTCAATATCCTGCAAACAAATATAGCACTTTAGAATAATAAGATAAGAGAATGGCTTATGAAGATATTTTGCAGTAATCAATATATTCATTTACTCCATAATACTCAGTTTTCTCAGCTCTAATTTAAATCAGTTTTTAATTGAGTTTAATCGAATCTTCAACTAGTTTTAAAATTTCCGAATAATTTGACCAGCTACCAACAACTTTTACCGACTAAAAAGTTGGTTTTATTTCAGCAGCAAAACGGAAACATAAAAAAACAAAAATTTCATTACTTTAAAAATACCTAAATATTAAAAATACATTTATTTCTGAGAAAGCTTTATTTTGAAATGAAACATTCCGTCTGATTGTATAATATCCAACACAATAATAATAATAATGTTGTATAAATGACGGATACGTTGAGCAAAACTGCTTTAGGATTCTTTGGATTGATAAGTTAATATTTATGACCTACCATTCCTCACATTTTGAAATAATATTGAAAAGAGTCAAACTATTTGAAAAAAGATATTTACCGGTGTAGCAAACCTTGCATATGCTGCAAGATCAGACCTGATCACAAAATCTGTTTTCTCCAAAAGTCTGAAAATGAAAATTAATTATCAAATTCAAAGTAATTAGCTTCGTATAATTAAATAGGTACAACTTACAATGCAGTAATGGACTTTTGCACAGGAGGTGGTGATGGAGTACAGGATATATCCCCACACTGAAAAAATTCCAAATCTGTTGTACTCGGCCACGCATCTACTGTACTGTTTTTCACCACTTTTTCTTCATCATCTAGACCTAATAGTTCATATTCCTGAATTCTCGAACGTAATCGTTCTTGTAACAGTTCGTAAGTTGATTCGCAATCAGCAGTAGCCTGGAAAAGAAACAGTAAATTTGTGGATTCAATTTTATTTCATTTACTTTTATTTAAAGCTTGCTGAAAATCTAAAAGAAATGAATTGCGCTAATTGAAACCATAAAAACTGGTATACAAATCTGAATCTAATTTTAATTTATAAAATCAACAAACCAAATAGCATGGAGAATGCTCTCCACTACTCGTATCGGAATCAGCTGCGGAACGAAAATTTAACGGTAAACCACCGGGTTTTGCCTTCCTGAAACCAATGAAATCTTAGATATGAACAATAATTTAATTCAACCCATTATTTTAATCACTTTAGCTTACTTTCTTCGCGCTCAAAAATGGGTGGTAAAGTTTAATGGTATTTACGGGAAAAAGTGCTGAATAATCCATTAGTGTGAGTTAAAAGTGCAAAACTCAATCAATCAAAATCAAAAAAGAAAAAAGAAATTCATTTAAAAAATGCTACTGTAATCTTTAGTTACAGCTAATATTTCTTAAAATAAGTTTCCCGAAAAAGAATGTAAGAAAAATTGCATTTCTTGTCATACCTTGAAGGTGGTCGCAATATCTTTCTGCATTGACCATCATCATCGGCATTAATGATGCACTGATATCTGATAAAGTCGGCAAGTTCATCTGGATCGAAACATGCCATCTAACCTATTGCATAAATGTCACCTGAATTAATACAAGCAAATCGTTTCATGAAAAAAAAGAAAAAAAATTAAATAGAACCAGTTGATACAAATGATTTTCCAATTCACTTCTAAAATTTCACATTCAATGAATGTTACTTTTTTATAAAAAGGCAAAATTCAGTGCTTTGAATCTGAGGAAGAACTTTATGATGTCTGAGATAAATGAATAAAACTTCCGGTGGGAGTAACACTATTGCAAGAATTCCGATAGGTTATTAGTTGTCACTAGTTTCACACTTGGAAAAATAGCAAGATTTACAAGTTAAATAGATAAAAGATATCTTAAATATGCAATTATATGCATTCGTCTGAAAATCTGAAATCAAATTTTCTGAAATCAAATCTGAAATCAAAATTTCAAAATTGTATTTTTGCCTAAACATTTTATTAAGCTAAATAATTCACCGATCGAGATTGCATACCGTACAGGATAGTGATGACTATTTTCGACGTTTAGTTATGCTAATCACTATGAAATATGGCATCTAGTCCGGATGATTCTAGAATTTCTGCTAAATATTGAATGGTGTTAATGACACAGGAATTTACATGAGATACAACGAAGGAATCTCATTGTAATCTGGATTTAAATTTTGATTTCTTCAGCCTCTATAAATTACTTGCGATATGGAACTGTCGATCATTGCGGAAATAGTAAAGTCATAATTGTAACTCGACTTGAATGTTAATGATGTTTTAACTTCAGGAAAGCGAAATATGCTAATAAAAATATGCCATTTCCATTGGTGGTGAATATATCTTCAAATTTCTATGAAGGGAATTTTTATCAACCTATTTCAAGAATAAAACAAATTCGAGATACAGGCATGTTGGCATAACTAAACAACAATGACAGTAATAGAGATATACAATAACCAGTTCTAATTAAAGTGAACGACCTGAAAAGTATTTTATGCTCAGGAAAGTGTAGAAAAATGATATCAAGTGGAATATTATATATAATGGGAATAAAAAAAGGAAACAAAAAAGGAAGAAAATTAGTTTCCAGTGCTCAATATAACATGTACCGTTGTCAAACTCTATTTCATCGATGATTCTTTCAAAATAGATCTGTTGGTACTAATATACAAATTGTACAATTATTACTAACGAAAGTGTGATTTCGAAACGTTTGAGAATTACATTTAATATTGATGAAATAAGAGATTCAACATTAAAGTAGCAAAATAAGGAAACCCAATTAAATTCAAATTCAAACATGAATCTACCTTAAGTTTTTGAAAATACAGAGACAAAAGAAAAATTCATAATTTGAAAAATTCAGGAAATAAAAGCAATCTTTTTTCAAGAAATACAAACAGTCCGGAGAGACTTTTTGCCCTCTCAAACTTTCATTGACAAAACATGATAGACAGAAATTATTATGAATTATGCATACTTTCGAGTAAACGATTATGGTAAACCAACGAAGAATGTGTCTTTCGAACCAAAATATATGCGCATGAAAGGCCTAATATTATTCCGCCTAAAACATCGGTTGGATAATGCCAATGATCGGTTATGCGCGTCACCATTACCACTACTGTCCATACACCACATATAACTAGCACCATGAAACGGATTATTCGCAACAATTTATTGCGGGTAGCATCAACAATGCCTAAATAAAAACTTGATTACTTCAATTTTACAGAACCGAAGCCCGAAAAACTGCTTTTTTTTTAGATTTTTCTTTGAGAAATAAAATGTATAGATAACAGTATTTTCAAAAAGTGATCATAAAACAATGGGAATAAAATCTACAGACAGCAAAAAATATGATAGAGAAATATAAACAATGTCAAATTTCATAAGATACTGCAACAAGAGCGTATCCGCTAGAAGCAATATATCCACACCAGAAGGAGGGAACTAAGAAACACCTTGATGAAGTAAATGGCCAGCAAAATTCCCACCTGCCCATCATTTCGATAGAGGTAATTACAAAACTTCGTCATACCATTTAAAATCAGCATACTTTCATTAACATCTGAACTAACAAATATATCGTTTATCATACCAAATAACACGTATATTTCTAACGATAGTTCCGTGATATATATATATATATATATATATTAGTATATGCACACTGTTTAGATAAAACTTTCTGTTCCAATAACCCCTCTCTCTCAAAATTAATTTTTAGTACCGTACCTTTCAGATAGAAATAAAGGAATGCAAAGAGCAGTACAGCGGCTGATGTATGGCCACTTGGAAAACTTTGACGTCCGATATGAATTCGATGCATATTCGTCCCCATACAATTAACACCTATAAATAAACGATAGCAATATGAAAGATTTATTTCACTAAAGTTCCTCATATTTGAAGAACCTTTCATTGGGTCACGATACCATGAGAAATTCCATCCATGATAATTTTGTTTCACTGTTTTCATTATTTGCTGTTCACATTCATATACGTATTTTAAGCCTTGGGAAGTTAAAGTACATAAGTAGAGAATTTGTTCCTAAAAATTTTGAATTGAACCTTTCAAAATTTTTTAATCCATCAAAACTAGATTTTCTAGTGGTTATCATACCTTTTTCTCTCTTCATCGTTCTCTCTCTCATAATACTTTGACAAAATTAATACCTTGAAGTCAATTTAATATACTGTTGCTTCTTCGAATTTTTTCCTTGTCCATTTCTATTTTCATCATATGAAATTTCACCTCTCATTTCTTCCCTCAGACTATTTCACTTTACCATCCAACTTTAAGTCAAATCTAGTTTAAACTGAAAACAAATAATACCTACTTTGAATATAAGTATTTGGGTCGCTACAATCGATTTCATTCCAGTCTGGTTGACAAACACTTAAATAATGTGGCCTTAACCGAGCGAAAGTACACTTTAATACCTGAAAATACGAAAATTCATTTCTACATCACATAATAAAGAAGCATATTAATTCTAAGTGTTAGCATTTGAATATATTTCAATTTTAGATCAGTGCAAAAAAGGATTAGGCCAATGTGAGAAATTGAATTATGTGAAGATAAAAGCAAGAAAATGAAAACATTAAGGGAAAATACCTCCATTATAAACGTTGCGACAACAAATGAAGCAATATATACAAGATAGATTGATGTAGTAAAAGTGAAAATATTTGCGTAGTTTATTTTGACCTTCAGATATCATAAATACCACAGCTTCTACCAAAAGGATGATCAAAAATGGTGAAGCAATGGATACAGCAAGCAAATGTTTCGTTGATATCGTATTTGGACGGAACGGATTACTGATATGTGGCACCTGTAAAAAAAGAAAAATTAAACATTACTATCAAGTCAAAATTCGTAACATTTATTAATTTCAATGAAATTTTAGCTGATATCATTATCCCGTTTAATTCTATTAAAAATTTGGAAAAATTGGTCTAGTTAATTTAATAATTTTATCGTTTGATTAATGCTATGCTACTGTTCGTTGTAATAAAAATAATTAACAACATATGCTAATATTATGTGCTACTATTTCCGTAAACTTCTAACTTATTATTTGCTACTATTCACATACAATGCTAATTTATTATTAATTTATAATATAGTAAATTTGAATACGAAAAGTTTTTCGTATTCTAAATTAAAGAAAAAAAAAAAACTTCACCTCATAACAATAGAAACCACGTTCATATGGTACAACAAATTTACCAACAAACATTTTTAATGCAAAAAATGCTGCAGCTAATGCAATTCCAACATCAATTGTTACAGCGATAAGGCCTTTAATAATAATCATTGTCGTTGATTCTTCCATTTTACTTTCGTTTTGCGCAAATCGTCCACTTAAAGTTACTCGACGAAGTGACATCACTGATATTGCTGAAATATATCAATATCACATACAATACAAATGAAAATAGGCACAACAAGAAAAAAAGTAAAACGCATATTTAACGTTAATTAGTTAGTATTTAACGTTAATTAATTAATAATATTCCAACCGAAAAAAAAACACTGATAATTCTTTCCTATAACCAAGATAATCGAATCTATTTTAAATATATTTAGAATGCGAGTTTTTTTTTTTTTCATTTAATATTCAAAATGTTGGACAAATACTCTGATAATTTTTATCGATTGTTATATACGAAATGGGAATAATCAGTTTCGGTTTTCTCTTTTTTTTTTTTTTTTTTTAAATGTTTAGGATAGAAATGAAAGCTTGATGGAATTGAACCCGCTAATTTAACACCTTTTTAATGAATTTCATTAATCAAAAAATGCAAAATTTTATCGATTGATCATCTTCATTTTACATTCATTTTTTTTTTCCTTTCATTATACAATTTTGTAAATCGTTGAAACTTTTACATTAAAGAAATATATATCATAATATCACATATGACCTTTTTTTCATATATAATTTCATTTTAAGCCAATTCCAATTTCTATATATTTTCCTTTTTTTTTTTTGTCAACTGAACTTGATATCTAATGTCAAAAAACAAAAAATCATACGAAAAGGTGTTGGTAGCGTATAAAGATGAATTTGCACAGATTTTTTTTCTTTTTTTTTTATGAATCAGAATAATATTCAAAAATATATTATTTCGCCAATTTTTATAAAAGGAAAAAAAAACCGTTAAGAAATATTCACGCACGTTAATTGGTTCAAATAATAATATAATATGGCTATTGCTATTTTCCTTCTATAGAAAAATGGGATTTTAACAAAATAAACCCGATATGGTACCAAACACGGCACCAATTCCAGTATGGCATTAATATCGGTACCAGTGGTTTATCTACTACTAACGATATTACCTTACAATTTGTTCCTAATGAAATAACGATATGCAACACAAATATACGCCAAATAAGGTACTCTTAAAGTTTAAGAAATTTTAATTAAACCAATAAAAAGAAAAATAAAATAAATTTAGCAAAATAATTTTTAGCTTTGTTTGCTGATATTCATTATCAGAAAAAAAAAAACAAGAAAAACTCAAATATTTATGCGACTCTACTACTTATAATAGATATAATTTTACTTATGCCAAATTAATTAAACTATAAATTATGGACTAAAACACCACGGGAGAGAAGTTTTGGAAATGTCACATACTATTGCAAAAAAACAGTTTGTCATTAATTATTGTCACTATAAAAAAGCAATCGTTACATGTACTTATCATGACCTTTTCATTTTTGATAACTTCTGAAAAATTTGAACAATTACCATGCCACTTCTAATGTAAGATATGTAAAAATTCAAAACGATTTTACAAAATGCTATAACATTAGGGTAAAAAGTTCAAATTTTTTACTATCAAAACTATTCTCTATGTGATTATCCTAAATTTGATTATTTGCTTTAGTCTTAATCGTAAATTCTATGCACATAAAAAGAGGCTGTAATTTCAGCAGAAAGTTTTAAAAAGTTTAAAAATTAAAGGTTAAAATAGACATTGCTGACAATAACTGGAAGTAAATGAAGGGAAAATAGTTGTCAAATCAATTAATGTCACACACAATGAAAGCATAATGGAATGCATACAAACATAGAAACAACACAAACACAAACACAAAAACACACACACACACACGTACACATATGCA